TGTTTTCTGTATTACCGTTTACTACTTCTTCCCATGTAACATGACAGCAGTTTCTCCGTGTAACTTTTAGTTTTCTTCTGGACTTTCACTTAGCTTTAATCGGGAATAATCTAAAATATGAAGAATTCTTGGTGTAGTGGAAAGCACAAATTCCTTGAATGAGCAGTAGTAAAGCACTAAACAGTTCTTATATGAGGGGCACAGTGTCATGCAGCTCCCAGTTGTATACCTGCTGTCTTCTGAGTTTCTCAAAGCATTTTGAGAATAAAATCCAAATGTAGTCACTGTTCCAAGCCCTCTAGTGAATCATGGTGGTTCAGCTTTTTTGTGGAATAGGGTAAGAGAACTAACAGGGAAAGGTAACATTGCTTAATGGAAAAAGTGGGATAATAAATAGCAAGATTCAGTGGTGGATGGTTTGCAGCACTTGGTGTTCTCTTATGTATATGTTCTCTCTTCTAACATAATGTATGTCCAAGATGTTGGTATGGACATCTGTATGCCCTGCTGCTTGCTTCCAAAGACCTGTTTACTGGCTCAGGTGACAATAAGTACAAGCCTTAGTGAATGAGTAATTAGGTATAGAGAATGTGTAATTAGGGATGCTGTGCCTGCAGCCAGGACTCTTCAGTTCTGTAGACCGTAATGACCACATCATTTTCTTGTTCATCACTTCCATTATGCAGCTGGTCTGAGGAGGAGGTGTTTTATGAAGGGAATGTTGGATACAGTGCAAGTACTTTTTCTGCCATACTGCTTTGACAGAGGGATTTTATTATTGTCTGTGTAGAATACCCACCCCAGTGCTGATGCAGTTCCTGTGGTCTGTGAGTTTTCAGTTGTCTTTGTTGCTCCACACCTACCACGGGTGCTTAGCTCCTTACAAGTGCTTTATAGAAGTGATGACACTGCAAGAAGGATGGTATGCTCTTTATTTTCAGGGTTTTAATCCTTCTGCAGGAGGCTTTGCTGCTGGCAAGGTTTTACTATCTGTTGCTGTGAGGCAGTCATCCCTCTGTGGTCAAGTATCTCATGGTTTATGCTGTTGTGGTAGTGACAGGACAGCTAGATCTCTGCAAGGTTCCTCTTGAGGACCAGTTCAAGACTTCTAGGTAATAAGCATCACATAGCCCTTCTTCTGCAAGCTTATGCAGAGACTGCGAAAGCTCCTCAGCCCTCACTGCTTAACAGCAGCTTAGAGATCCAAAAGTGAATTCTGGACTCAGCCAGGATCTAGAGAATCCTTCTTCAAGAGCTTGATGCTGGTTTTCCCCCTAATAGTTATAGTATCTTCAGAGTCCAAGAGAGGAAAGACCTCAGAGAAGCAGGGAGCCTGGTGCCATGGCCAGCCTGTCGTTTCGTCTTTGCTTATCAAACCTTCTTAATTTTATAATGAATGAAATATTAAGCCCTTTCTACCCTGCTGACACAAGTTCATACACTCCTGTCAGGAGGGATTTTCTGTTTTCTGTTTGAAGAAAGCATGTGAAGAACAAGGGTTTGGATTTTAACTGCCCCTGGTGTTAATGCCCAATGCTTCAGGAGAAATCTCCATGTACATAACAAATGTATGTGTTCCTTTTTCTCTTCCCCATTTGTCCTGCAGCAGAGTTGTGTATTCAGAGGGAACAAAATCCTTGGTTTATGGGATTAAGATAAACCCACTTACTCTGCAAAAACATCCACAAGGATATAAAAGCAGTTTTTAGCCAAGGGGCTGAACATAGTGTACATTAACAAAGGGGGAAAACCCTGTTCCTAGTAAATTATCCTTAATATTTCCAGTGTATAGTTAATGATCTAACTGCTAATCCAGATGATTTGCATATCTTTTTTTACTGTGCATCTTTGTACGTGTTCTGGCATGGTCAAGGTTTGGCTATACCTCTACATCTTGGGTTATTTTTTACATGTACTTTTCTCTCTAAATGCCTTTTTTTAAATCCATTTATGCATTTCTTCAGCTGCCAAATGGTTCTCCTGTTGCAGATGCTTTGGCTTCGTGCTTGGTCTTTATCCCTTGTATGTCCAGATTTTGCTGGCTGTGCAGCATTTGCCAGCTACTTGCTGCTATTGCTCAAGTAAGCTTGTAGGAAAGTGTAAGAAACATTTTTGTGTGTGTGTGTGTGTGTGTATGAACTAGGGAGATAGTGTTCTGCACCAACTTGCTTTTAGTTGTGAAACCCAAGTGTGAAGGCAGTTGCCTTGGAGACTTGGAGGTGTACAATACAGGTGTTGCACGAGTATTAGGTTTAGTACCATAAATAGGCAAATAAATATTGGGTCTCTTCATTGTCCAGTTCCTGGTGCTTATAACAGTCCATAAAACATGGTGATTTCTTCCTCACCCCTTGTGCTCATGTGCCTGTCTACTCGGCATATACACAGTTTGAGTTATCTCCTGGAAGGAGGTTGCAGATGAAGACTTTGACTAACTACGCTAGTCAGTAACAACCAGAAGTTTCCTATAGCAAGAAGCTTTAATGTGGTTGCCAGTATTGTATTAAACATGTTCCTTTTCAGAGGGTCCTCCAGGTTGCCCACCCACTCAGCCGTATTCAGTCATCTACAATAATGTTATTTCTCTATACGTCCACATCTGTTTTCACTCTGTTGCCAATTGAAATGCTGCTGTATTTTCTCTGTGTATCGTGGCTACTTTCCCAGCACATTGAAAATTTACGCAGTGTAAGGGGATTTTACAAGTTCTTGAAAAACATGAAGTATTTTCCCACAGTAGCCACACTGTATAATGTCTACATGAAATGACATCTATTCCCGGGATTAAAAAGTGCACCTGTATATGACTTACTGCTTCATAGTGCCTTCACAAAGAGATACATAATACTTTAGTTCCTTTTATTTGAAGCCAGCCTTTTCTTATGGAGAGCTTATTAAGTAGCTTCCTATAGGGAACTTCTAAGAGTTAAGGGAGCTAGTGTGCTCAGTGTCTGGTGAGCATGCTTTTCCTGACTGCTGGTGTGTTTGGGAAAGCGCTGCGAGCAAAACTTCTGGTCTGTGGGGTTCTTAATGTGTTCTATAGCTATTGGTAGTTGCTGTTGCAGGAAACTGAAGGCTGAAAGAGCTCCGGAGGTGTTTGGGCACTCGGCTGCTGGAGTAATCCAGCATGTGCTGCTTATTTCAGACCTTTCCAGTGGTGTTGCTTTGGGGAAACTCGCCCTTAAGACGTCTTAGTATTGAAGATCTGAATTTATATGATTTCTGAAACTGTTTAAATTGGCTGACTCAAATGTGTAATGCTTTTCTCCTGTGTCTTCAGTGTTAGTGTTGCATTTTTAAATATCTTGCCTTCAGGTCTATAATTACATCAGTTCATGCTACTAATGTCTGCAATCCTCTCCTGTTTCTAAGGGTCACCTCTGTAGCACCTAAGAAGCTAATGAGTTAGAGTTCCGCCCTCCTAACGCAGATAAATCTTCAGACAGAGCTTGCAAATTGCCTGTCCTTCCTCCTCAAAGCCTCCATCCCACGCTGAGCAAGTAGCAGAATGCGCAGGCTGCTACCTTCAAGGCAGGAGTCCAAGGCTGAGCCAGCGCAGTGTTGGGTTTGAACATTTTGAGCCCAGTTCCCAGTCTGACAGTCAGCAGTGAACTAGCTGGCCAGAAAAGCTGATCCCAAACTGACAGATGACTTGCTATCTTAATTTCATTAGCTTCCCCACCAAATTGGAAGAGAATGAGGGGGATGAATAACTTGTCAGCATGTTCCTCTAGAAGCATCCCTTAGTAGTCATGTGTTAGACAAATTCCTGTGGCACATCAGGTTTGTATTATCCTCTCCAAATTGCATAATGGGAGACAACTGAAGGAGCAAATACATGGAAAACAAAGCGGTAGGTTAGTTTTCCCTTGGATCAGACATGTTTTCCTAGAATTGGGACATCATAGTTGCACTGCACTTTTATCTTTAATGAGAGCTTCAGTTGTTTTCCAGCCTTGGCAGAGTTGTAGAAGTGCCTGCAATTGCTTTGAAAGTTAGGATTTGATTATAAACATATTTTTCCAAACAAACTGGCAGTCTATCAGCTTCTCTCCAGGTTTCCATGCAGTACTGGGGGGATCCCAGGGAAACGGCTAAATAAATGGTCTGTTCTGGTGCCTGTGTTGGAAGACAGAAGGCATCTCAGGCTGTCTAGGTACTGCAGGCCTGGAGTTCTGTGCATGGATTCTCTTACGACTGTTGTTACAAACTTGCTATCCCAAATCCCACATTTCTTTGAAACCAGCATTAGTTATCTTACAAGTAATAAAGCAGATTAAAGCATGGAAATCATCCTGCTTCTGCTATGGAATACTTTGCAGCTTTTTAAGATGCACCAGGTCTCTTTTCCGTAAAAATACCTCATGAAATGAAAATGTTGAGAATTACATTTGCACAGATTTTGGGAGGAAAAAAGAAGTAAGTTTGGGTTATTTGTCATCTGATAGTTCAGGTTTATTTTCGTCAGCCTTTAAGGTGCTCAGAGGAGGCTTTCGTATCTCAAAATCCTTTTCTACGATGTGTAACAACAGTTAATTGGTGAAATGACAGGGTAAGGGAAGGAAAGGTCCAAAAGCTCCTGTAAACCTCCCTGTTGGACTCAGCAATTTTGTAATGTTAGTTACTCGGGTGAGGCTGAACACTGCACAGTATGAGCTCTGGTTTAATCTTTATGTTAGCTGGTTATGTAAATATGGGGGTGGAACTGAATTGTTATGAAACGTATATCTCTAATGGCTCCTTTGGAAATTCTCATTAAGATTTGTTGACCACAATTTTCACAGCTAAATACAGCTTTTGCCATGACAAATTATAGAAGCCCTAATTCTAATTCATTGTGTTTTGTATATCTTTACTGGGGGGAGAAAAGGGACATTTAAATGTTAAGTACTTTAGGTGTAAGGATGCAAAAGTGGAAAGATTGCTGTCCATGGGTGGGAGTAGTCATGCTCAAGCAGGCAGTCTCGTGCCTAACTCCTGCTTGTTTCCCCTCCTGTTAGACTATAGAATCTAACTGGCGATGTGGGAGACACAATTTGCAAAGGATTCAGTGCCGCTCTGAGAACAGCAAAGGTGTCTACTGTTTACAGTATGATGATGAAAAGATCATCAGTGGCCTACGAGATAACTCCATTAAGGTAAATGCTTCTTTTCAGTCTTTTCCCTAGGGAGAAGTGGATAATTCTGCCTTGGAAAGATAGCTGCTTGTATTGATTCCTCATATCTCTTCATGGGGCAGCATTTATCTGTGCAGGGTTTATGGGGATGGGGTGTATTCTGTAGCCTGGCAAAGTTCTCAACTGTGCTTTGCTCTGGAAACTTTGGGGACTGCCAGCCAGAGATCAATACCATTGACCATTGACAAGAAACACTTGTGAAACTGAAGTTCACATAACATGAATGAAGACTGAGTGTGCCACTCACTGCCTTTACCTGTGTCTTTTGGCACTGCTAGTAGTTCGCTTGCATGTGAGTAGGTTGCTTCCTCTTGCAAAACAGGACTTTATCTTCTCATGATCAGTGTTTATTTCACTTTCTGTCAAAAACTTGCATGAAGGCTTCCTTGAGCTATAAGGGAGGATGGGCCTGCTGACTGGACAGGCTGACTGGCCTGGGATTCTTCCTCCTATCTCTAGTTTTCTTCCTTCCTTAACAGTTGCAGCAATGATCAAGTCTTGGATCCATGTTCTTGGTCTTGATAAGCCATTTATACTTCTTGTTTTTAACAGATCTGGGACAAAACAAGCCTGGAATGTTTGAAGGTATTAACAGGACATACGGGCTCAGTTCTTTGTCTGCAGTATGATGAAAGAGTCATTGTAACTGGATCTTCAGATTCTACAGTGAGGTGAGTGTGAAGTGTTTGCACAAAAATCATGGCTGGGAATGTTTACAATAATTTCTAAATATCAGAAAACATCCCTAATATGAATGGGATACTGTTATTCCAAACCCAAGATATTCATACTTGGCAAAGCATCACATTCTTTTTTTTTTCCCAAATCTGTCTCTCTTTTTTTTTTTTAGTGTTAATAATTTTAAAGGAATATGACCTGAGTGATTCAAAGCATATCCTGAAGTTGTAGAATGGCTGAATGCCAACTGTACAGTAATTTAGGGTTTCTTGTACTGCCTTCTGACATCTCTTCATGATGACTGTTAATGAAAGGGTGTTTGCTAGAGATGGAGCACTTCTCTGACTGCAGTTTTGATCCTAAGTTTCAGTCCTTGTATGGTCAGCAGATGTCCCATATAAAGATACTCAGGCACAGTTCAGTGGAAGGGCCTTGTCTCCTGGTGTTTCACTGGTATACCAATGTAGGTCTCTAAAACTTCTCTGAAGTTAGGAGCTGATCTTAACATCTTTCAGGTACTAAAAATTCAGTGGTGATTTTTCACTTCACATAGGCTAGTAGGTGGCCTTGGGCGGTGCTTCATCCCAACTGCTCCTGGTGGCCATAACATCTGAATGAATGGTGTAAAGCTGTAACAAACCACCAATGTATTGGGTAGTATTTAGGCTGGCCTGATCCATCAATTTATGTATCATACAAGCTCTAGTCATCCTTGAATAGTTGCACAATTGTTAAGTAGCTCTTTCTTTTAGCAGTGGGCCCAGTTTAGGCATTTCCTGGCCTAATTGTTTGCTGCTCATAATTGTTGCTTGGGAATCTGACACATGAACTAGGATACTTCCCCAGCATGCATCCCCCTGCATTCCCCAAGCTCTAAGAGGTGTTAAACAACCAGAGAGCTCTCCATTAGAGATAGTAGCAGACTTGTGCATGTTTACACTTTATCCCATGCATAGCTATCATCCTTCATTTGCAATAAAATGCTTTTCTTTTGCAGAGTTTGGGATGTAAATACAGGTGAAGTCCTGAACACGTTGATTCATCACAATGAAGCAGTACTTCATTTGAGGTTCAGCAACGGCTTAATGGTGACATGCTCAAAGGACAGATCAATTGCTGTTTGGGATATGGCATCACCTACTGACATCACCCTGCGCCGTGTTTTAGTTGGCCATCGTGCTGCTGTTAACGTGGTAGACTTCGATGACAAGTATATTGTGTCAGCATCAGGTGACAGGACCATTAAAGTAAGTTGGCAGAGCTCTCACGGAGGTCTGCAGGCCAGAGAAGCTTCTGAGCATGGCTCTACTGCGAATAGCTGAGGTGCCCATGAGCAGTTCTGTGCCTTTTTTTGTGTTCAGCTTCCTCTCACTAGCTGTTAATGTCTTTATGCACATAACTAGGCTCGTAACATTTTTGTGGCTTCTGTCATACGATTGCAAAGAAGTGAAGCCTATTTGCTGTTTGAACTCTAGTCTCAAGATCAGTTTGTTTGTTAAATGTGGCACATTTTGTGCCTTTTTCCAAGCGGTATTTTTTATTTCAATTGGCAGTCCTGTTCCAGACATGAAATTTATCAGCAGTGCCTTTCCTCACCACACCTGCCCAGCAGCTCCACCAGACTTTGCCATGTTTGAAGAATTAAGAGGCTGTATTTGAAGACTCTTACATACCAGAAGATTTGATTTACCCAGAGTGTATTAATATAACAAAGGCATTTCCACCCGTTCCTCTCTAGAACCAGAGCTACCTTGGACTGTGCCAAAAAGCTCTTGGCAGTTTAATGTCCAAATATCTGCCAGAGATCCTGCTGCACTCTGTGTTGGAAAATGAGCCACTGGATACTCTATGTTACAACTTCAATTACAGTTCATTAGAACTGGGCAGAGTTGATTTGAATCATTTAAAGTTAAGAAAGAAGCGGCCACCAGACTTCTAGAGGCCATGGGTTTGGCTTTCTCTTTCTAGTAGATTGCTACCAATTTCTTTGGCAAAAATCTGGGGCTTTTATTTATGTGATAATTTCCACTTTCAAAAATTATTACTAATGCATCAAGAGTAAAGTGTAATCAAGCTCTTGAAATCATTTGGGACAGTCTTTACCACCTGAAAATATCTTCTATATAACCCTCTCAACTTCTCATCGACCCAATGTGCAATAGCAGTCCCTGTGGCTCTTGTCACTGCCATGTCCCCATAGCACTGTTCTGCTAATGCCAGGTGCCCACTCTTTGCCCATAAGAATAGTATATGAGTTTTCATTCCAGTGGCCAGCAAAGGTCAGCCTCAGCCTCCTTCTGTTCATGAGTTCTCCTTCTACTGAAATTCAAGACCCTTGCCTGGGGGTAATTCTCAGAGGAGCGTTTCTCTTGTGTTTCACAGGTGTGGAGTACAAGTACGTGTGAGTTTGTTCGTACTCTGAATGGGCACAAGCGTGGCATTGCATGCCTCCAGTACAGGGATCGACTAGTTGTCAGTGGATCTTCAGATAATACTATTAGGTGGGTGCCCACAGGCTGCTATTGGTATGTAATGGTGTCCATCTGCATGTGTGAAAATAGGATTTCCCCTTACCTTTGGTGCTGTTCTGCACTGCTGCATGTGCAAAACATCCTTAGTATGTTTTGATATTGGAGCAGATGATGTATGAATGAAACTTAACTCAGTGTGACAGGAGGTTTTTCACATCCCTGTGAAAAAAAGTGGGATGCTGAGGTTTATGTTAAATGTAAACAAAATTGACCTTCCACTGTAGTTTATCACCTTGTCTTCTGCTTGGAGAGATGAGGAAGATGTTGGCTACTGGTTTTAATTTTTTTCTGAACCTCTAATCATGAATTTATACAAAATAGAAAAAAGTATGTTCAAGTTTCCCAAGATAACTTGACATGTATCCAGCCTCTACTTGTATAGAATTTGGAATGAGTAAATGAATTTTAATATACTGCAGCTGCAGCACACACTTGTCTCTGAATTGCACACAGGGAACATCTCATGGCTCTCATGCCTTTTTAAGCAAGTTATGTGGTATCTCCCACAGAAAACCAGAGTGCTTGAATCCCTTAGTGTGAGGCTAAGGGGGACAGTGTTGAACCTGAAGTACTCAAAGACTCTGTTCTCTCTAGGCTATGGGACATTGAATGTGGTGCCTGTTTAAGAGTATTAGAAGGCCATGAAGAACTGGTTCGATGCATCAGGTTCGACAACAAGAGGATTGTTAGTGGAGCCTATGATGGGTATGTGTTTGAAGCATTTCAAGCAATTCTGCCTTTCTTAGCAAAACATCTTCTGAAAGGCATTGAGCCTTGTGTTCCCTTGTGAAGGGATCTCTTCTGGTTTCACTAGTGGATCAATATTTAACTGAGTGGCTTCTGCTTGAGCATTTCAGCGCAGCAGACTACAGTTTTAAGTAGCCAGGAGGCTGCTTTTTTGGTGCTCTTTAGCATGCTCTGAAATGGTTAGCACTGAAGTTTGACTTTCCGTAGAAAGTAAACTTTTGTTTGGCTCAAGTGACATTCCTTTGTTTCTTTCCTCAGGAATTGCTTTTTGCCAGGTACTGTGTGCTTAGAGTAGTTCAGACTATTTTTATAAGACAGCAGCACTGAATGTTTACTGTGAGCATAAATATACCTTGAGGGGCTCTCAGATGTCTTTAGTGACCTTTTTTGTTGGGCTGAGGGCAGGGCCCCACTGTTAGCACTTCTGACTCAATATTTTCAGTGTGTAGTGGATTCTCAACACCTTATATCCATGTCCAAATTCTCAGTTTCTTTGCTTGATTTATACTTCCAGTGAACAGCAAAGTTACTGAAAACAAGTCTTCAGCTGTTTGTCTCTAGCCTTTTATTTGGGTTCAGTATCTCACTGGGCTCGGCAGTCTGAGCTTAATTCCCACTGGAACTTTGCACCTCATCAGTAGTGCTGTGAATTTTCAAGATTATCTGCAGTTCCAAAATGGCTTGGGCATGTATGGTCAATTTGTGTTTCATATAACCAACCCGCTTGGTCCATCACAAAAACATCACATGTGTTGCTATAAAGAAATACAAACCTACCTATGTTTTATGAGCTCTAACCTTAGTATTTTAGTGAAGATAGATTCTCTAATGTTTTGCTTGATCCTGATGAAGTAGCTGTAGGAAAAATCTAGCATGCTCTCCATTGCTTCAGATGTTTCTTCTATGCTTATACTTGAAATGATGCTTTCATAATGACCTTCTCATTTTACTTTATAGCAAAATTAAAGTTTGGGACTTGCAAGCTGCTCTTGACCCTCGTGCCCCAGCAAGTACATTATGCTTGCGTACATTAGTGGTATGTAAACCTCATCTATTTGGGGTTATCTGGGATCTTTTATGTATGAGAGGCACGTTACCATGTTATAGTGGGGTAGGTGAGAAACTCAAGATGTTTTAAAAAGCCTTGGCTGCTGCTTAGTCTAAGAATAAAGAAAAATTTATGTTGTTACATCCTGAATGATTTGGATCTGAGCTTAAAAGAAAGATTGTTTTTTTCTAGTTTCAGATTCTTGGATACTCTTTAAATCAGCATGACACTGTATCAAATCATTCTAGTTCCTGGTGTGTTTCCCTAACATCGTTGTAGGGCTGGCTTTAAATTTCCTCATATTAAAAAGCGGAGAGGAATCTTGTGAGCCTTTCCCAGACCTTTCTTCTAATCTCTCAGTTTGGAAGAAATGGGAAGAGGGAAGGGAGGTCAAGTCAAAGGGATTACCACAGGAACTCTCATCACTTCAGAGGACTATCAGATTTAAGGCTGTTGCTCAAGTTATATTTTCCTTTGTAATGAGGGTTTTGGTTTATAACAGTAGACTTAATAAAAAATAGATTGGGGAAATGAGTTCATTGTTCCTTGCACTGAAATGTGCATGAAATTTTACTTCAGACATCAGTTTGACAAGCTAGTAGCAACCCAAAGTTATTGACTGTATGTGATGATAACTGGCTTATTCAGCATGTGCTTGGCCTTTCCAACACCTAAAGAAGTGCTTAGGTGGCTAGAAATGCTTTTGCCTTTTCTTTCTCTTCAGTAGTCTTTGCACAGAGATAAGATTTAATCATTTTCTTTTCCATATGCATGCAGTGCATTTAGTTTTACTGCAAAAGTTGATTCTGTCCATTCTGTGGGTGTACTGCAGCTCAGGTTATAGTTTGGGATCACTGACAGCTTTGGTTAGTTCTCCAGTGAAGGTAGCGTACTCATTTTAAGCCTATTAAAAATGGGTGAGCAGGACAAAGAGGAGAACCTTTTCTGGGCCTTTTGGTACCATTTTGAGATGCCTTGCAAGAGCTGATGGAGCGTGTACACCTTCACCTTGGCGGTGTTTGAACACAGTCGTCTTGCCTAGTAAGTGAGCCATAATGATCCTTTCAGCAGCATACCCTAGCTGAAGCTGGGATGTGGTGCATGATGGCTGCACAAAACTGGAGTTAGCAGCAGCACTGAATGCAGATATTATGTAGGAGAAGGAGCCCTGGCAGATTGTCAATGCCAGCCAGTCTTCTACATGGCTGCTTCTTGATTGACAGGCTGCTTTTGTCTGTAATAATCTCAGCCTCTAAAACTGGCCCCTTGAGGAGGCTCAGGGTTAACAGGCACTGGATTTGGAAGCCATGTGAAAAAAGTTTACATACAAAATCAGCTTTTCCTAAATCTGAGTTTATATAACTAAGGGTTTCTTACCAGTACACCAGCTTTATAATGCACTGCTCTGTGTCCAGATAGGTGTGTGAGTACGAATGTAATGAAACATCACTCTCTTCCTGCCTTGCTAACTGATTTGTGTCACCCACAGGAACATTCAGGACGTGTCTTTAGACTCCAGTTTGATGAATTTCAGATCATCAGTAGTTCCCATGATGACACAATTCTGATTTGGGATTTCTTAAATGTGCCACCGAGTGCCCAGAATGAGACCCGCTCTCCATCCAGAACATACACTTACATCTCCAGATAACAGTCTGCACTTTACTACCCTCAGAAGGTAAGTCTCCCTCTTTTTATTGATGTGTTATAAAATCTGAAATTGTCACTCTGCCTGCAGGTTGGCTTAGTCAGAGCAAGCAGTTGGTATTTTCCTTAAGAAAGCAAAGCCTGTTTGTGCCACAGAGACACCGTATAGCCTTTGTATGGTCATCCTTCAGCTCATAAGACTTGTCATGTTTCCTCACCCCCTTTTGTAATCCCTCCTGTTCATAATTGGGTGCTTCAGGTATTCTATGGGATGTTATTTTGTATTCACAACATCCTTGGAAACTGAGGAGACTCAGTGTATTGTGCAGGTGTTCCAACTATCCCATGAAATCAGAGCCTTTTGGAGCTCTTGATGCATTTGCTCTCTGTATGAAGCTTGGCAATGAGCATTGTAAGACTGTGTGATCTAAATGTGTGTGATCTTTGGGCACTAAGCTGCATGCATGTGTGATCTTTGGGTAAATGCTCACCAGAAATGAGCGGTACCATGACAACCACAAATAGTAGGGTTGTAGGGAAAGCTTTCAGAGATGAAAATTGTATCATGTAAGGCAACCTGACACCTCAGAGCTGTCAGGAACCCAGCACATGAACTTTGCCTCTTTTGTTTCCATTTTTCTGCAAGTCAGCTTCATTTAGTTCTCGTAGCATGGTGGGTAAAAGCTCTGCTGTAGATCTGTTAGGACAGTGGATGCTGTTCCTTGTGTCATCTATATTGCTGCCAACAATTGCACTTCAGACTATAAATAGTTGTGAAGGTTGGAAATTGGAGACATGGAAATTGCCTTCCCCAAGCAAAGCAGTCGCCCCTTTTTCCAGCGCCCTGTCTCTGCCAGTGCTGAGCCATCCAGCTTCCAAGGAGGTGGAGACACTGCAGCAGTTAGGAGTAACACTGCCCTCACAGGAAGGATTTATTTTATTTGAAGTGGATAATTAATAGTTTGCTTAAACGCTGTGGGAAAAGCTTTCCCTGTCTTCATGTAAGCCTGGACTTTCATTATCTGTACATGGATGGGGCTTGGAGCAAGCTGCTCTAGTGGAAGGTGTCCCTGCCATGGCTTTAAGGTCCCTTCCAACCCAAACCATTACAGGATCTTCTGATCCCTGCTGTGGCAATGAGATCCTTGGGGTTTTCCCCTCCTTCTGTAGGATCTCTGCTTCTGGCTAGGAAAACTTTCCCTCGTGAAGACACACTCTGCTGCTTTGAGATGCTGGTTCTTAAAAATCAGGTCTCTTTCACCTGTATGCATTCCTCAGGAAAGTGTTGGCTGCCTTTCCTACTCGCGTTAAAAAAGGCCAAGGTAACATCCTCTCTGGAGATGACACCTGGATCTGTTGGCTCGTTATGTTTCACAGAGGGTCAAAGCAAAAACTTGGCCATGGCTAGAGTTCCCCGTCTTTCCAAATCTGTAATTACTTAATATAATTAGGTCTATGGATAAGGAAGAAGCTTTATGCTATGATGATGAGCTAGTGTGCAGAATCACCAGTTAATGGAACTTTCCCTTAAAACCACATTTGAAGAATACTGCTGCCAGGGTAGTTTATTAAAGCTCATGGACTTCCTTATCCTGCCTGCAGTAGGGCAAAAGAAATCTGAAAAGGCAAAACTGCTAAAAGTAGTGTTTATACAGGGAGAGTGACTGAAAGGTACAACTTCCTGGGAGGTAAGTCATAGAATCATGGAATGGTTTGGGTTGGAAAGGACCTTAAGATCATTTAGTTCCAACCCCCTGCCGTGGGCAGGGATGTCTCACACTATACCATGTTGCCCGAGGCTCTGTCCAACCTGGTCTTGAAACTAAATCCTGAACCTACTGTAAGATCCAGGTCCCACAGTGCTGCTTACCTGTGACTTCCACTTCAGAACTGTTTTATTTGATCCAGGATGGCATGTTTGTCTTTGCTGTGAGAAGCTTGGTGCTGTCACTGATGGTGATGTCCCTAGGACTTTGTCCTTCTCCTCTTCAGACAAGCTTTGATGCCACCAGAGTCCATACTGAAGTGAACTAATGCTCTGGCAGCTCCAAGGCCTGTTGAAGTTGAATGGTTTTCCCTCTCTATGGAAAACTTTTCCTTCCTTTCTGAGTAATTCCATTTGTTTTATCTCACCTTTTCAGGCAGATGGAATAGGCTGCGTGAGAAGATGACAGTAGTATTAGGAACAGTTTCCATCTATGTTCTAGTTTGCACACCAGCGCTGTCTTCTGTGAAGTTATAGGATAATTTGAGATTGATAAATTCCTTTTTTGGTTTTATGTTATGAAAATCACAGGAGTTTGTTTGGCAGGCTGCTGTCATTAGCTTTGATTCATGGGAAGGCTACACGCAGCTTGTCTTAAAGCACAAAAGAAATGAGGAGTTGACTAAAACTTGTATTGATTCACTTGACCAGCCGTGTGTTGGTGTCTTTCTTTCCTCTCTTGCCACATGTGGCCCACAAGACCCACTGGCACTGAGGCTTGTGAAATACAAAATGCCTTTGGCACGTGTTGTTCTGTTCAAATTCTGCACACTTGACAGTGTTGCATAGCTTAGGTCTGACTTGTCCCATGACGCCTGACTCAAACCACACAGACCTCCATATCCTGGGAGTTGTTGGTGTTGGTAATGACAATCCCTTAGTAATTACTTCCTCTATAGGAGAGATGCTGTTGATGTCACTTTTTGACAGGTTTGTCTGACTTCAGTATCCAAAAAACATAAATCTACATAAAATGATGGTCAAACAGCTTGTATTTCATGATGACGTTTAGTGAGAGCTTTACGTGCTTTCAAGCCTTGCCGCTTTCTTAATCTCGAAGCAGCCCTGTACACTTTTACAAGGCTTTGCAGTGTTCTGCCTCTTGAAAGTGGATCATTTTTGACAGTCCTGGCAGTTGGCTGCCAGAGTTTTATTGCTTTCTGTTGAATTCCTGTTGTTTATTGTAACATGATAAAAATTGTTACCAGATGATAGTCTAATATTCTTATATTAAGCAGTAGGCCATGGGCTGGGGGAAGGGAAGTCAAGGGGAAGTGCCTAAAGATGTTTTAACCTTTCATGGGAATTTCATATCAGAGGAGGGTCGTTCTCTGTGGACCATAGAATCAATTAGGTTGGCCATTAAAGGGTTTTGGGGCGTGGGAGGTGAAAAAACAAAAGTTCAGATTTAAGCACACTGAGAACTTGCATTGTCTCCAAGCTAATAATGGAGCCACGTGGCTGGAAAGGGTAACCAAAATACAAAACTACTGGAGTTTTTTGTCCATTTTCTTGAAAATTTATGTATTAAAGCAACTGAACTTGCATCCTGAGCAAAATCCACTCCTCACAGCTCTGTGGAGGTCACTGTTTCAGTGAACAGTGCGACTGGCTGGTGGTTCACCTGCCAGGCGCCAGGAGGGGTCTTGATCCTTACTATGTGTAAGAAGACTGCCAAGCTATAGGTGACCCCCCAGGGAGCAGCAAGATTCTCAGTGTGCTCTTACTTCAAGTGAACTCGGAGTACCTTCCACAGCAAAGCTATTTGCCCTGTAGAGGTGCACCTCTCCTGAAAGGAAGGGCTTCCAGCACAGAAGGAAGTATTTCAGGGCGAGCACCCCCTTAATGTGTTGTGCGCCTCGCAGGTATTTTGCCCTTCCAAGTTGAGAGCAAAGGATGGCGTGGCCTGACCCTCTCCAGGTGTCTCCATGTGATGCTTTTCAAGTTGTATCCTCAGTTCAGCTTCTCTTTTGTCTTTTTCAGGGTTTCACAGTCTTGAACTACTGGATTTTTGGCGACTACATGCCTGAAGATGTTGGCTGACAGCTAAAGTCAGAATTGGTTCTAGATGCTGTGTAGATGCAAAGCAGCACAATTCTATATCTAAATTTCTTAATCTTTCCTGCTCTCAGTGGTCATCTCTGAATTTACTACAAATTCACTGACTTGGAGTAGATGAATTTCAGAAGCCTGTCCTTCCCTGCAGTGAGAAATCCAAAGCTTCACATGTAAAGTGTCTGTAGAAACTGAACTCCGATGGCTTGTTTTTCAGAAATAAATCAGAAGTCAAGAAAGGACTTGGCCTAATTTATATTGCTTTGCACTTTTGTCTGACTTTAAAGAATAAGAAACATTCTCCAATGAAATTTGGGTGCCAAACACATACCCAGAATGTACAGAGCTTTGCTTTCAGTCACCATTGTCCTTTAGACTTTACTCTCATGACAGATGCAGAGCCCGTTCTGTTTGCTAGGAGTGTACGTTGGACTCTTAGAACTATTTCTGAATTGCTCAGTAATATTTTTGGATTACGGTTTACTTGTTTCTGCACCAATAATTTCTTTTAAATTAAAGATTACCTGTACTTCAGGCTAGGTTATCTAAACTAGTTGTATAGCACTGTCTTTTCCTTTTAACTGTGCTCTGTACTGCAGCCGTCCTACGCTTCCTAATGTTTGGTATAGTAAAACCTTCCCGTGTGTGCTTGCCTCATTTCCAATACTGTATAAGCATGTAGATATAATGTACATACCAGTGGAACCTCCGGGTGCTAGGGTCAGGGTTGCCTGACACTACACACTAACACAAGAAGTGGTAGCACTTGGCAGCAGGATGTTCTAACTACTGGCGCTGGAGGCGTTCACCTGAGTCACCGAGAGGTTCCCTCTGCAAAAAGGAGGTTTTCAGTATTCATTAGGGTTGTTTTTCTGGGTTTCTGGTTTTTGCCCCCCCCCCCTTTTTTTTTTTCTTAATGGGAACTCCAGATTTTAAAATGTAATTTTAAACTTTTTAAAAATTAAACAAACCCAGGTTTAATTTATGTTCTGTATCTTATTTGTGTGCCGCACTGTGTCCAGATGTCTGTACCAACAGCAGGTCCTCGCAGCTCGTGTCCCTCAGCATTAGTTGGGCTGCTCGGTGGAGAAGATGCCATGGGCCAAAGTTCAGTTTATTTATGTGTGATCTGTAACAGTTCCTCATGGTGGAGAGGAGGTTCCCTTCGAGTCAGTGCTGCGCTTACCGTGCTGATTGCTGTGCTGGTAATGACCCTGCTGGTTTTCTCTTCCATAGCCGTTTGCTGTTCCCATGTCCTGGTTGCGGTTCCTCCTTGTTGGCGCTGTTCTGAGGAAGTCTCAGTAGTTTCTTCTTCTGTTGTCATGGTCTCTCCTCATTGATGTGCTCATAGAAATGCTGTCTCATGTCAGAGCAAGACATGGATAAACGCAAACACGGATATTGTACCTGCGTTACCCATGTGGCTGTGCCTGTCGGTGGCTTTTCCTTCATGCTTCACTCGAGCTCAGCGTAGAACCCACCTCTTCTCCTGGGGAAGACATGTGCTGGCACAGAAATGTGCTGTCATTCCTCTGATCCTTTGTACATCCTGTGCATGTCGTCCTCTGGAAGCACTGCCTTGGGTTTGCATTGTCCCCTGTCCTGACCAGGCGTGGGGTGTCCGATGGTGTTCGCAGTGGGACCGCCGTGGTCAGACGCATCGTTCCCGTGTCACCTGAACTCAGAGAATGCGCATGTCAAGGTGTTACCATTACAGAACTGCAGCTTCAGGTCGCCTCCTGCTCACCCTTCCCACTGAGGGAGGTGTTGGGATCAGTGTTGGAGTGAAGCTCCTGTGTACTTACAACAATGATTATTTCACCAAGGTGACCGAATGCGATGAAGTGCGGGAGAGTCAAAACCTGCTCCTAAGCAGCTGTAAGGTCACTCTGTGGTAAGCTTGGCAGTAGCGCGTGCAAGTGTCTTACTTTACCCGTCTCATCTGATAGCTTTAATATCAAACCGTTTAAAAACAACCCCCTGTCGCAGCCCTGAAGAAAAAGGTATTTTTTTCCCAAGATCGGAGTCCTTTTCGTAAATGCATGTATAAGATTTCAGTTCCTCTTTTTCCTTGGGCGATAATGGTGTTTGAACACGCGATCTGACCTTCTTTGTGCTTTGTGTACCACAGCAGTGGACTTCGTGATTGGCACCCAAGGAACTTGACTCCTGGGATTAATGGTAGTGATCCTGGCTGCACTCTGGACTTTGTTTTGCTAACATAACTGAGCAACTGTACATTACTGCTATATTAATGTTTCAAAGCACTGGGATAGTCGAATTCTAACTTGTAATTATGTTTGCCAATTATCTGTTTGGAAAGTTGGTGTATGAACAGCTTCTTGAAACTGTTGAATTGTACAGATCCCCTTCCCGACCTGAAGCTTTGTACTGTGGAATGTGCTTAATAAAAAAAAAATAAAACCAAAAACGTTTCAGCATCAATTTGTCAAATAAATGATGGATCGGTACCAGCATGAGCCAGGGGCCGGCCTCTGCCTGCCTTCATGCGCGCTCAGCCGGAGCGTGGTGGGTAAGTGCTTTCCTGGGGGTGCCAGGCCAAAGTGTTCCGAGTCCAAACTGCGCCTGCAGGGGCCCAGCTCCATGCTTTGGCGTGCTGTGTGCGGTGCTGCGGTTGGTGTTTTACCTGTCCCTGTACTGCAGTGTGTGCCTGGGGAGGATGTGGTGCAATAGGGAACTGAGCTGGGTCACCCGTTGCAGAGGCACCGCATGGCTCCACTTGGCTGCGGTGCTCCCATGTCATGTGTCAGCAGAAACATCCCCAGAGGAATTTCTTTTTCCTTGATCAAGGGTGCAGATTGAATTCCCAAAGCATTGCCTGGTTCTGTGGCCACTGGAGCAGTCTGTGTGTGTGTGTGTGTGTGTGTGTGTGTCTGTGTGTCTGCAGGGAAAGGGTCTTCACTGCTGGTTCTGCCTCAAGGAGGCAGCAATTCCAGGGAGACCTTAGAGCAGCTCCAGTGCCTAAAGGGGCTACAGGAAACCTGGAGAGGGGCTTGGGACAAGGGCCTGTAGGGACAGCCCAAGGGGAATGGCTTGAACCTGCCAGAGGGGAGACTGAGATGAGCTCTTAGGCAGAAGAGCTCTACCCACTCTATGATGATGTGGGCCATGCCCATCCCCTGGCTCTCAGCTGGAGGAGCCAACCTGTTGGCCAGGGCTTCATCTTGCCTGCACCCATGGGAAGATGCTCCTCCAGCTGCTCCCTGACCTTCCCCACGCTCCCCACAGTGCTCACTTCTTCCCTGCAGCTGAAGAGTAACAGGGATGCAAGGACTCAAAAGGATTCAGAATTGTGTCTTCTGGGTTTTTTTTTTTCCTCGTTTTTTAAAAACTTCAATGAAATCGATCTGTTGCTATGGAAGAGAGCTTCTGGGGAATAGATTAATATGGGTGGTGAACAAAACCCAACCAAAGGCTGTAGAGATGCCAGAATGCTAAGGGAATCCTGGCACTGGTGCAGCCAGGGTGTTGGTGCAGCTCCTGATGTGCCTCATTTGATGTGCCTCTCTCACTTGAGAGAGGCAATTTTCCCATAGGAGCCACCTGCTCCACGTGGAAAACAAGCTCCATGACTCAGTTCTCAGCACTTTTGCAAGACTGAATCCATGTTCATGCCCTCAGCACCTGTATTTATACAGCACCAAGCACATTATCCCATTGGAGCAAGATCCAGGCCTTAGTTCTTTGTGTTCAAGGTGTGTAATGGTCTGGGCTATGGATTTCTGACAGACAAAAGCTTCCAGCCCACATTAAACAATGCAACATCACCGGCAGAGGGGATGGGTAGAGCATTTCCATGCAGGACATGGACCTTCCTCTGCACTGCATCGAGAGCCTGGGGGGTGCTGTGGATGCTGCTCCATCCTTCTGAGTGCTGCAGGGGCCCTCAGGAATAGCTTCTCCCAAAGCAAAAGTGCAGCAGTGACTCAAAAACCAAGCTCAGGACAGATTCTCTTTGCCGTCCCACCCCAACACTGCTTCCTGACAACCCCAGGCCAGACCCAAGCCGCAGGAGCTCAGCCCTGCCTTGGCCGTGCTGCTCCGCCAGCAGTGTGGAGGGGAAAGGCTCCGTGTGTCGCACGGGTTGGAACAGGCTGTGGCCATTGCTGCAGTTTAATCCCACGCTGGGGGATGCTCACCTCGCGCTGCGGTTGCTCTGTGGTGGGATGATGGGGTTGGAGCGTGCTCCGTGTCAGGGCAGTTTTATGGCAGTGTTGGAGCCCGGGTTCCGCAGCCTCCTTGTGCTTCCTCCAAGTCCTCCTTGCGTTGTGCTGCGCTCTGTGGGACGGGAGCAGGACGTGGGGCAGTTGTTCACCACTTGCGCAGGGCCATGTCCTCACTTCCATAGTGCCCTCCCGTGGGGGAGGCAGCGTCCTCGCAGGCGTGCTCTGCGCCTGCAGCAGAGATGCTGCTTGTTCTGCAGGACAGCTGGAACCCAAATGTAAGATGGCAACAGCCAGCGGTGATCACCCAGGTCTAGAGCTAGCGTCCTCCTTGCAGACCTCATCGGGCCTGAGTGCAGGCACTGCAGCAGGATGAAGCCCTCTCTTGAGTTGGTTGGTTGAGCTCTCTGGGTGATTCCACTGTCAGTAAACGTGGGGTTTGTGCCATTAGCATTGCCTGAAACAGTTCATTTTATCCTTACAAAATTTTCCCTTTTTTCCTAGCATTTAGACTTTTTTTCCTGACTATTCTGTTAATTTAGCAAGTCAAAATTACAGCTGAACCAAAGAGATTCCACCGAATCCACAGCATGGTTTATGCATCTCTGCACAGTGTTTCTGGATGTATCCCATCAGGCAGCAGAAACGAACACCTTGTGCCTTCACTTCGACAAGGACTTAGTGTAGCTCTGCTGCCTGCCCTGAGCCCCACCAGCGCTGTGGGAGCAGCGTTCAGTTACGGCTGCATCTGGAGAGGTTTGGGGTTTGATCGCCCTCTCGCCCACATCATCTTTCCTCCTGCCTGCTCACAGCCTCAGCCTGGAGCCAAAACCCTCGTGCTGGGGTAAGGCAGCCATGGCAGAGGAATGCAGGTTCTCATCTGTGGGGTTTCTGGGATCAGCGCAGCGGGGCTCCTCGCCAGCAGATGAACCCCGTGATCTCGCAGGTCTTTCCTGCCTCTGATGAGTTCCGCATGTGCCTGCGCTCCTCACCCTGCTCGTCTGCACCGCGGCTGCTCCTTGCCAAGGTGTGGGGGGGGAGGATTGAGACGAGGCGCTTGGAGCGCTCAGCA